AGACATTAAATGGAGAGGAGAAGGAAGAGGGGGAGAGAGAGAGATTGATTATATATCACAAGAAAACTGCTTTGTAACAAAAAGGTTGCGTGGGATGAGGCCGATTACCTTCTTGATGGGATCAATCGTGTCCTTCTCTTCAGGACTGGGCTCCTTCACCTCGGGGACGGTAGCTTCTTCCTTGTTTGCCATCTTTTCTAACGTTTCTTTAGCTAAGGCTTGAATAAATGCTCCCAGCAGAAAAATCCGGTAAACAGCAACAAGTTAATTATATTCATTGATGGGATAACCGCCACACCCACCAATAAGTATTTGCTCTGTTCCTAGCTCTGATATTTGTAAAGTCTGTACCTCTAGAGTGCTTCTTCTTGATCTAAAATGAAGCTTTTATGTTAATATACTTTGATGCCTTTTATTTGAGAAATAAATGTGCTCAAAATACCATTATTAAAAATGAAGGGCGTGGTCACTAATATTACTAAGCCACGCCTACTAAATTAAAACTCCACCCTAAATTTGATAAGCTCCTCCTTTTACTGTAAATGCATGCCAACTGTTGCTCCCTTGTCGAGTGAAGAGGTGAAGAGGGAACGTTACTAAGTGCTTGATATGTTGCTAGTACGAGCTGCTCTTGTACTAGCTCTAGTCATCATCGGGGCTGTAGCTGATGACGGTATCCCACCAAGACAGGTACGAGAAATTATAATAATTTTATTTTAAGAGAAAGGTGACGACATCACGTGTCTTAATCTTTCTTTTTCTCACAGAAATGTGATGTCATTGTTTTGCCCTCAGCTGATGACCCAAAGATCATTTACTATCAGTTAAAAAGTGATACTAATGCTACTCATTATGTCTGGGGTCTACAAGATATTCCAACACTCTTCATGAGTGTGACTGGTCCTAATTCAACCTGTCTTACTGCCGAAGAATTTAATAAGACGATCGACTGGGAAAAGTTCTTAGGCGATGATGATAATTGTACTGATCCTTGTGAGACGTGGCCAGAGCCTTGTAACTGTACATGTAACTATGGTGCTGTGAATATCCCTGGACAAGATGGAGAGTTTGCTTTTGCTCTTACTTTTAACTCACTCATTGAGTTTTATGATTCTCACAGTAAAGCTAATAAAGCTTTTAACCCGAAGCATTTGAATATCTCAAGTCTTTACTCAAGTTATTCTCTTGCCGATCTCAAGTGGACTTTCAATAAAGACAATAATCAACTTAAGACTTCTGGTCCTAAAGGATTGACCTGGTACATTAGTGTAAGTGAAATTGTTGTATGTTGAATATACAAACCCTGTAAATTTGTACCCTGAAATTTGGTTTATTTAGAATTAATTTTAGCATAGCAATGAAGCATACATGTACTAAAATTAGAATTTATTTCTATTTTCAACTATAATTAATATATTATTGGGATAAACACAGACAGCTTATTTTGTTCATAATAATTATGCTCTTTGAAAGTAATGTACACCTTATTTATGGTACATATACAGTACATGTAGTGAGTAGTGTGTACTTTATTGTTTGTTGTTTGTTGGCAATGAGTGTCTGATGTGGTGCCATGTATCTTATAGTAACTTAATTGACTATTAATGATACTAATAAATAATACATGTAAAAGTTTATTAAGTGTAATTTTTTTAAAATAATTAAAAGATAAATTAATTTTTGATGATCAATATTTTTTATTTATTCTTCTCTTGTCATTGTCTAGTTAAATGTTCCCACAGAAGGAGGTCGGCTAGATTATTTCCCAAAGACACTCTACACCATCAACTCAACGACTTTTGATTTCATCTTTCAGAATTTCCCCTACCAATTACACATTGGTAACAATGCCAGTCGGCTTGTACTGGATGTCACCATTGTCCACGGTCCACTCTCCCATGGCATCCTTATGTCCCGTTTCTCACGTGATGATGAATATACCCCGTCTATATTCATTACTTACAACTATCTCTTTGGAAACAGAGGCACTATGTTTCAAGGTTTTCTCCAATGGAAGCCGATCTCTTATCTTTCAAAGGCAAGGAAATCCACGAAATCGGAGCAGATTAATTTAGTGCCGGGCGGAGACGTGGATGAAGTTCCAGTTGGTCTGGCTAGTGCTTTGTTTAATAATTGTACCAGTGTTAATAATACGAGGGTATTTCTGGTGATGGGGACTGAAGGTGATGATAATAATGCTAATCCTAACTACGTTACATGGTTAGTATATTTTAGTAATCTCTGTCAGTATACTCCAATAGCATGCTGTGTTGTTTATGTGTCAAATGATAGTGTGGTAGTAGAATACTGATAATGTTTGATAGTAAATTATTAGTATACTACTCAAATTGGAAATATTGTTGGTGAATTTATAATATTAGGCCAAAGTCTCTATACTATAGTACAAAAGGTAGAAAATTTCTGGTTTTATAATTTTTCCTGATACATATACACGTTCTTATGCTCTGTAGAAAGTTTGAGTTGATTTCGATCAAATTTGGATTTTTTACGAATTTTAAAAGTTTCTCCAAAATCAGGCCAAAGTCCCTGTACATTTGGCCAATGACCCTGTACTATAGTACAGGGTCATTGGCCAAATTTCGTCAAAATTGACAAAGTGAGAATTCTCCATTTTTATTACATTTTCTGATGCATATACATGTACTTATGTTGTGGAGAAAGTTGA